TTATTGTAAAGTAGAGTGAGCTCCACCTTTGATGAAGACAGAAGAGGCCAAGTTTGATGGGTTGGATAGCATGAGACAAAGAGAGTAATTAATGACTTAATTGCCTCTTCACCCTTCCCTTTTTTAAGAAAAGAAAGTTTTTCTTCTTTTCTTTCAAAACTCGCCAGGCTGAAAATTGGAATTCCCAATGTGATTTTACAGTTTAGCAAAGAAAGAAAAAATAAAAAAAAGAAAAAATAAATCGGAACTCAATTTTTCTATTACGTTTTCCTGTAACATCTTCCTCACTTTCTAGAATCATCGTCTATTGATTTTACCTTTAGTGGCCTTGGAAGCTGCAGTGATCTGTTTGTGGAGAGTTCAGTACCTTGTATGGATTTCCTTGTGTTGGTTTAAACGCTGATAAGATACGTGGCAAATTAATGAAATAAAAATAGCTTTGTCAATAAACAGAAGAGAAGCCACTTTCAACATTTGTTCAGTACCCATTGCTTTTCAGGGCCCAGACAAAATTAGTGGGTAGGATTAAAGAATATATTCGTCTTTTATCCCATGTTTGAGTACTTGATCACAGAGGCATGGTTTAATCCAAACATCAATAGCACCTCGTCAATTCCATCAGAGACAGCTGTCAAAGTGGACTTTGGGTTTGTTAGAGCTTTGTGTTTTATCCTTTTTTAAGGTCATGGAGTATTTTCTTTGATTTTTGATGCTGAAATCTTTCTTAATCTTCTAAACTTGAGAAACATCTGTTAAGATTTAATGGGATGGCTTTTGTCTTAAAATTAGAGCCCATCTTGCAAAACTTTCCACCTCCTTTCCTTTCCCACCCCCCAATATGGAAAATGGGGAGCTGGGACAGAGGAAGTAAAGCGCGTGTCCCTCATGAGACAGAAGCTCTTCTGGTCAGTGTGGGAGAGAGCATGCTAGAATGACAGCACTCTGGATGCTGAATTCTGTGAAGCCAGTGTTCAATTTTATTTTGTTTCCTAGTGACATTAGCAATTTCCTTGTAGCACATCACTTAGCCCAGGATCTGAGTGGCAGATTTATGGACCCTAGTGAATAATGAGACAAAAATGATGTAAGGAAGAGAAACAGCTGGAAATAGGAATTTTAACCTTTTCCCGTAAGCCTCCTTGTTGCTGGATTGCATCGTGTCAACAAAATTTAGTGGTTAAAATAGCTAGAGGTACAGTAACAGCATCTAAAAATATATGCCTCCAAATATGTACAGACAGCTGTCATGTCTGTTGACAGAATATATTAGTCATTATCCTCATCAGTAGACACAAAATCATCGCAGTTTTCATAATGGAGGCGTTTTCGTATCACATAATTGCTAGTGATTTTGGAGGTCCTCTGATAGAGTCACCACCATTGTAATCACTGTATTTTCATTTACTTGCTTTTTATATTCTTAACCTGGGTGCTAACGCCTCAGCCAAAGCTCTTTGTAGGGAAGCATTTGAAGCTTTCTATTTATTGCTTCGGTCACATTTCCACCTATCTTTGACAAGGAAATATGGACTGGAGACTGCTGTTGTGAACAAAGAAGGTGGCCTAAGACCATCACCCAAGGATTTCTTGCTCCTCCGCAGAAGCAGGAAGGAACCCCCAGTAAGAGTGCACAGCAGGAGTCGGGGTTTAGAGAGTCAGAAAGAGCTCTCAGTGCCATAGTGAGGAGCTGGTTTGGGGAGCTTATTTAACTGTTTTGAGCCTCAGATTCTTCGTGGAAAATGGGGATGGTCATAATTACCTTAGAGCTTTGTTTGAACATCCATGAAAGCACCTAGAACATGCTTGCTCTGTAAACACTACTGAAGAATAACAGCTTTGTTTTTCGTCCCTGTTACCCTTGTGCTCTGCCTCCACTGAAATCTTAGCACTTTCTTTGCCCCACCTCGACACACGCACACGTTCCTGTTCCCTTTCCCATTTGGAAGCTTCCATAGAACTGGTACCACGTCTGCTTATGAAATGGGGGTAGAACAGAAGTCTCCGCTCTCTCTCTCCCTCCCCTAGTTCTGGTCATTCTGCAGTCTGGCCAGGGGAGCACTCTCGCTGTTCTAAACAAGATCAAGACCTTAACCAGTTAATCACTTACTGCATCAGGTATCGTGTGAAATGCTTACATGCATTATCACTTTTAATCCTCACAGTGACCCTATGAAGTAGATGCAGTTCTTATTCCCATTTTACAGAGCAGGAAACTAAGGCCCAGAGAAGTCGAGTCACTCACCTGGGATCTTGCAGCTGAGAGTGGAAGGGCCGAGCCTTGACTCAGGCAGCCTGTGTCCAGAGCCGTGGGCACCCGGGGCTCATAGAGCAAGTGGGCCTCAGAGTCGGGCAGGGGTCTGGAGGCCCATTAGCTGCATCCCTGTGGCCCTTTCTGATTTGTCAGACACTGTCTCCCAGAGCCTCCATCCTCAAGTCCCATTGCTGGGAAAGACTCTTGTAAGCCTGAGATGGAGAAAGGCCCGCCCTTCTAGAAGGGCGTGTTGCTGTGCACAATATGAGGGGTTCTGTCGAGGGTTGTTGTTTTTCTCCCTCTGCCTCTTCCTCCCACTTCTGACACGGTTTTCAATTAGCAGCTTGTAGAGGCCGGGCCTGTGGTCCTCATTTCATGCAATATGCGTAACTGAATTCCCCCCGGAGGGGATTGTGGGGCAAGGGGAGTAGTGAAATAAAGGCCCCTTGAATAAAGGGCAAGAATGTGCTGTGGGTACAGGCTGAAAGCAACACCTCGCCTCTTGTAAACTTACGCGGGGCCAGGGGTCGTTTGGGAAGTGACTGTCACAGAGATGAAAGGGGGCGGTGGGGCTGAGGGACGTGGGGCTGCTGGGCCGGCTGGCTCTTGGGCCTTTCCACCTCGCTTCTGGTTTCTGGTGGAACATACACAGAGGCGGGAGCAGGTCTTTGCTCAGGCATGTTAGTGCTGCTGAAGAAGAAAAGGCATTTCCTTTCTCTTCTGGGAGGTAAGTGAATCTCCCAGGTCCCCGGTGGCTTCTCCTGGGGGAAGGCCTTGTTCATCTTGAGGCCGAGACAGTTTGTGTAATGCCTGGGCCGAAACGGAGCTGGTGCCCTCCCTGCTTCCAGGGCAGGAAGGATACCGCTCCTTGTGGAGATGCTTCAGGCTGCTTTCTCTTTATCCCCACGTTCTGGGTACACTTCACATGGAAAGTCACATTATGTTTCTTTTCATCTGTCGGAAACAGGATCCTTGTTTTAATGAAGAAAAAAAAAATCAAGTTGCATGTGCTTCCAAACACACAAATGTTACACATTTGCCACCTCCGTCCGACACAAAGCTTATGAGCCCCCTGAAAATAAGGGTCCCTTGAACCGTTTGACAGGAGTGTGCACTAGTAAGTGCCGAAAGGTGCATCTCGTTTGAACTTATGTGGGGCCAGGGAGCGTCTCAAAAAGATGACAAATCAGCCCTAAATTCTGGTTTCTAAATAGAGGTAAAGAGGATATGTGAAAGAGGTCGCGAGCAGCCTCTAAGTCCCCCGCGTGGGGTTATGTCTTTTCCTTAGGCTCCATAGATACAGTTTGTTCTCAAAGAGGGCCGTGGGCCTGGACACCGTATTGGCGGTCCTGAGAGAGCTTGGTGTGTGGAGGGCCAGAGAAAAGAGGTTCTGCGCTTCTGGAGACAGAGACACAGATCCCTTCCTCTGGGTCTCAGGGGCCTCTGGGTAGCAGCCACAGGCATAGAGTAGGAAGTCAGGATCCCCACCCGGTTTGTGAGAGAAAAAAAGTAAGGAAAGTGAAAGGTTCCAGATGAATCATGGTGATTTTCAAATTCGAAGTCATCTCAGAAGTTTATGTTCTCATCAGAGCATAGAGTCATAGCTTCTGTATCCCGAGTTTCCCCGCGCCCCCCACCCCGTCCATCCCCCCCACCCCAACCCCACGGGCAAACACTCCTCTTTCCCAGCCAACTTCTTGTGGAGGACTGTTTGGAGTAACTAATTCCCCACAAGATAGGCCTGAATCATCCCTTGCGGGGTGTATAGTCACGTCGTGAGAACGTGTGGAAACAGGCCCCTGAAGACGCCAGACCCAGGGCCGCCCGCTGCCAGTGTTTTCCAGGTGAGCACGATTGAATTACAAGCGCAGGCCGGACCTCGGCCCTGGCGTAACCAGGCGAGAGTTGCATGTGCTGAGGACAGTGAGGGTGTGAGCGAAAACCTGCTTTCCAGTGAAGAGTGACTCCGAAAGTTGATGATGTTTTCCTAGACACAATCTCGGCTTTTAAAATCTGCAAATGAGGCCGTTGCGGTTCTGGGTGAGCGGGTTCTCCCCTCCTCTTGCATCTGACATGCCTGCCTCTGCCAACTGATTAGGCAGAAGCCAGGAAACTTGTTGCCTGGGGCAGGCGGATTCGATGGGGGCATTTATCAGGAGGTTTGGGTGTCCCCGACTAGTAAATACACTTGCTGTTGTGAACCTCATGCAGAAAAGGCAAAGTATCACATTTTCCTCTGAATTCTTGAGGAAATTGCTCTCATATACAACACCAACCTTTGGCTGCGTGACAGAGACAGAGTGTCGTTTGCATGCCATTACCAGGCTGTAAAGTCTGGTCAGGGCTGTCTTTTCCGAGTTTCCAATCTTTTGGGATCCTTGGAGGGTCACCCCGTGGGTCAGGTTTGTTTAGTCTGGTCCGTAATGGTGTAAAGTGGCCTTGACTGTCGAGTCTACCCAAATAATGCCCTATCTGTTTGATACTTCAACAGTCTCTCTAAGTTGTATATGTGTTTCACTTTCCAATATTCACAGCCGAATTGGATTTCATTGTTAATAGAAGGCAAATTGTTTCTAAAAACAACCTCATCTCACTTTGAAAATTAGCCAGAGTTCAGAGGGCCCGCATCTTAAGGGGCGACCTACATTTTCCCTGGGGAAACGGCACCACACTTCTGCGTCTTTGTATGCACAGTACCCACCTCTCTGCAGCTTTTCTAAGAGATTCATTTGAACATACTATTTTTCAGATGTTTTATTGGGTTATAATATACACAGAGAAGACAACCCACAACCTAGGAGCACAGTGGATTTTCATAAACGGAGCTACCCTGGCAACTGGCCCCCAGATGGAGAAGAAGCAAGGCATCATCAGCGCCCAGAGAGCCCCTCGCTCGAGGCCTCCACTTGAGCGTATACAATTTTAAGTTTCTCTTGCTTATAATTTACCCAAGGTTTTCTAAGTTGCAAATGTATTCCTCTTTTCCCCACTGAGTTGTCACATACAAATCAAGAGAGGGAAAGAGCTTGTCTGATCCTCTGGGTAATAATAAGCAGTGCCTTTCTGGAATTCTTGGATCTGGGCTTCTGGTAGTGTCCTATGGAGCCTGGGAGATTCGTCGATACCTTGTTAAAATGGGGCTCATTTTTATTTGTGTCCCTCCAGAAGCTCAAATCCTTCTCCTTTACATATTTCAAACGATAAAAACCCAGTTTCCCCAAAGTCATCCAAGTGGCATGGGTTTATCTAATTCATACCCTAGTTTGTGAAAACACCATGGAACCAACTTTATAAATGTTAAGCAGTTGTGGCCTTGGGGTACAGAGGAAAGTGGTGGAAGAATGATGCTCGGGGCAAACATTCTTGTCCCGAGGCTTCTAGGGGTAAATGGTCTCTCCTCCCCAACCTCTCTGTTTCCCAGTGAGTCTTGTTTGAAGGCCTATAGCTGGACTTCCCTTCCCCCCTTTAAAAATAGTTCAATTCCTTTCTTCCTAAGCTCCACAGCAACCAGTACCGCTTTCATTACAGCAACATAAATAAAAAGTGACATAAAATTATACAGCCCTGTGTAAAGTAGTTTAACGAAAATGTCTTTTATGGCAGCTTTTACGGTTTCACCAATTAGTTATTAGACTTTCTCCATTTTTAATTTGATGTCCTGTGTGCACGTTCTGAACGGTTCCTCCTCCCCCTTTCCTCTCCTGGCAGTAACAGGGCTGGGGGGCGGTTGAGCCCCCAGGTAACTGCCGTGCTCATTTTCTGAAGGCATTTCGCTGCAGCCTGTTGCTCGATTTGGGCAAAGCAAGTTTCTTCGGAGAGACGCAGACTTGAGCCTTTTTCAAGTGAGCAGAATTTCACCCCCTTATTAACACTCAGTGTCCCCTGCAGCCGGTGGGGCGGTCTCCTGCGGAGGGTGACTGTGGACACGCCTCGGGATGGGACTACCACAGCAGTTGGACCTTAAGCTGATAAATTCTGAGTTTTTCGTAACTTTCCAAACATTCCCAGGGAGTGAGAATAACAGAGATTTACTCCTGCCAAAATTTAATCATGCAGAAAAAAGCGAAATTTAGATCAGCGTATAGATTATTTTTTAATGTGATCACTCGACAGCGGAGGGCAAGGAAGCCAGAAGTTGAACACTTAGCGCAGCAGAGTCTAGACCACTGCAATTTGATTCATTTGGGGGAATTGTATTAGGTTTTAGGCTTTGGCTTGGGCTGGGCTGTTCTGTTTGGGAGTGTATGATGTCATCGTGTCAAGCGTGTCAGGCATTCTGGTATTTATGTTGGCCTCGGATCTAGCCCAGAGTACATGGCAGGCTCAATTTATTGCTACTTTAACTTTGTTTAGTCATGGAGAGGCTTTATTTATGTTGGTAAATTTCAAACAGTGGCCAACAGTGACCGCACAATGAAAAGGCCTGCAAGATTCATCATCGATAAATCACCTTGTTGCTGAGTTTCTTTAATTAAGAAAAAACTCCGTCTGTTGATCCCTGTGGTTGCTGGAAGGAAAGCAGGGTGGGGAGGGCTTTGATGAATCCATCTATCAGCCCGGCTCTGCAACGCAAGTCTCCAGTTTCTGATTGTAGCTGGGCAAAGACCTAAATAAAAATTTATCTTGTCAAAACCTATGGGCTAACTGAAAGCAAATAAAGAAGTTTTATGGCATCCACATAAAGTTAAATAAATAGGGAGAAAGTGCAGTGCGTCCTGTGGACATTTTTCAGTACAGTACATGGCCGTTCTTTGGGGAGAGCTCATTAACTTAAAAAAAAAATTACCTTTAATGGGCCACTCATTATCGTCATCATCAACTGCGTCACTTGTCTAAGTAACACTCCAGTGTTTAAAACCTGATTAAAACCAAACACTGGGGCTTGTGGCTTGGTGCAATTGGAACTAGCCAGTGCGTACTTTGAAAGGGTAAATTATGGACACTATAAGCAACATTGCCAGCATCAGAGGATCTGTTTTTTTGTTTTTGTTTTTAATTTTTTTTATTGATCCCTCTACAAGGTGAACAACCTTCCTGGTGATGACATACTCTGGGAGCAACGGGGCAGGGCTTTTCATGTCTGAACAAGGGACCCCATCTTTGGTTGAACTTACCTTTTGTGTGGGGGATTCCCTCTGCTGGGAAAAGTCCAGAAAAATATGTTGGAATTGGAAAGCTCTTTTCACCAAATGCCGTTTAAGCGGACTTGTCTCTGAGCTTGGGCTAGAGCTTGGTTAGAGTACATTTTATTTCTACTTAAAAAATGTCTTCGAATCAGACAAAAGACAGCAGCTGGTGATGGAGAAGGCCAATTTTGATACGAGGATGCACTTAAAATCATTTGCTTTTCCTTTTTAGGTTATGGAAAGGGTGCTCTCTTGATATCAAGCTTCGGGACCATTCACAGGAAAGTGCGATTTCTCAAGTGTCAAATCTGGAGGCATGATGCATCTGGCAATCAGCCCCTGCCTGTTTGATGGAGTTGTACAATAAATGTGGGCTTGGGGGAATAAGGAACATTTTGAGAACCATTCCTGTGGGATCCTGGTGCTGTAGACTACTTGGGACATGACATCTTTGTGTTGACAGACTAAAGCTGCTCTTGGATTTAGCTGAGAGTTTTGCAAGTCCTTGGCTCTCTTCCTGCCTCTTGTCAGTGTGCTGTGTCTTTATTCATGGGTCCAGGCTCCCTGTGATGAGGGTGGTGGTCATGGTGATGGTGTGTGAGAAGCAAGGCTGCTCTGCCCGGGTCTAGGTAGGAGAGGTAGGGACATGATACCTTCCCTCGCATCAGTAAGACAAAACTCAAATGTGGAGTAATTTTCGTATAGATCCCCATGTAGGCCATACAAATTGGTCATGGCTTAATCAGAACTTCCAGCCACTTCATAATGACTGTATCTCCTGCACTTTCTATCTTCTTCATTGACTCTAAGAGTTCAAGGCAATCTTGGAGTCACCTTAGTTTGCCCGGTGCATAACTGACAATTCACTTTTTCCCAACATGGAGGTCAGAGGTTAACAACAGGGCAACAAATATACGTTCAGCTCTCTCTAATAAGTCTAGCAAGTGCAGGGCAGTGTGGAGACCCCAAAGAATCCCTGTCATGGCCCTTGCCCTGAAGAAACTTCCAGTCTCCTTGAAAGAGGTAGGATTTATGTAAGCGTCAGATTGAAAGTGAGGACTCCTGGAGGGTGCAATCATAAAATATCATATTGTTCATTCATTCCGTGCCTGGGCTGTGGGGCTAGTTCTCTATCCCTAGGGTGAGATCTAGGGCAAGTTTTCTCACTTGCCCTAGATCTCACCCTGGTCACTCTACAAATCTTTTGTTTGCAGAATGTTCTTAATTTAGTATCACCACTGTGGTTTTTCAGCCCCGGGCTGCCCATCGGAATCTCCTGGGCAGCTCTTTAAAAATATCGATGTCCAAGCTGCTCCCCTGACCAATGAAATCAGTAACTCTGGAATGGGGCCCAGATATCAGGAATTTAGAAAACTCTCCAGGTGATCCCAGTGAACAGCCAGGATTGAGAACCCCTGAAATGAAGTGTGCAGTTCCAGAGAAATAATGAAAACTTCAAATTTTATTTAAAATGAAAGCTTCTCCTCTTCTGCTCCCCTGGCCTCCAGTCCTGAGTCGGGGAGGAAGGTGTGGGAAGCTTCTACTTCTCATCTTACACATCTTTTCCTCCCTGCCAACTCTCTCACCAAAGTTGCTGACTGCTCTGCGGTTGAGGTGCGGGGGGGTGGGGGGTGAAGAGGGGAGGGCTGGGCAGTGGGTCTGATGTGACTGGTGTTGATGCTATTTGACATGGCTCTCTCTGGCTATGGCAGAGGTTTAAAGCCGTCTCATTTTGGGGGTGGGCACGAGCATTTGTGTATTCTTGGGAGACTGCCTTCCAAGTCTGGGAATCTCTCCTCTGCAGTTCCCACGGGTTTCCGGCAATCTGATTCACAAAGAGAGATCCTGCTGATGTCCCAGTGTCTCCCCAGGAGCTCATCGTAGGCAGAGTCCCTGTAGGATGGCACCATGCTGACTCTCTCCACCATGGGAGCCATCCCCTCCCCTCTCTGCTTTCAGATCAGAAAGGGTGGCCACCCTTTACCCTTAGGCTTGTCCACGCAGTGTTCTGGCACCAGCCTCTGGTGCCCCACAGACTTCGCCAGACATCAGGCAAGTTCTAACTGGTCTCCCTGATGCTCTTCTGAGCTGGAGGTGAAGGGAACCACTACTTTCACAGAAAATACTAATTGTCCCCCAATATTTGTTCCACTTCTTTCACTAGTGCAAACATGGCTTCCCAAAACAAAGACTATGTTTCTCAGTTTCTTTTGCAGCTTAACATGGTCTGTATTCTGATCAGTGGTGTATTGAGTAGAAGTGCTGTGGGCAAGTTCCAGGAAATGCCTCGTAGAGAGAGGGTATGTCTTTCTCTTCACCTCCCTTTCCTGCCGGATGGGATACAACTGTCTGGGCTGGAAGAGCCATCTTGGTTCCAGAACTGGAAGCAGCATGGTGAGGAGATGGAGCAACAAGGGCAAAGGAGCCTGGGCCCTGATGAGCATGGAGCCAGCATGTATAGTTGGCCTACTGAAACCTTCCCATGAAACTAATCCTTAGTAGTTGATAATTCTGAAATGGAGCACTGAGCATGAGCTCAGGCAGGTAGTAGGCCACAGGGCACAGAAAGATGATGCCCCATTCCAGATGTGGTTAAGAGGATACTGAATAAGGAAGAACTTTACAGAGGGCAAAGCCAGGGACAAAGGGATTGGCAGAAAGGAGAATGACAGGCTGCCAGATGGTCTAACCAAGGAACTGACTTCACGATTAAGGAAGGGAGTCATTACTATCCCTGCCCAGTGGGTTATGACAATAGTTATGGGCCAGTAATTTCAGGACATTTCCCATTCTTCCCATTTCCAAATGGGATTCTTTATTGCTGTTATCTTTTTCTTTTCTTCCATTTTTATTTTGAGTGTTTAATAGAATAACATGACCATTAAGAGCTACATCCTGGGCCTGATGAAGAAGACTGAGCATTACTCATACAACCTGGATTTAAGCTGAATGCAGTTACTGCTTTGGTTGTTGGCTTCTTTTATGGAGGTAGAGGTGTGTTCCGAGGGAGATGCACACGGTTCTAGAAAGTTGGCAGGTAGTACAATTCTGGCTGGTGAGTTTCAGGGAGAAATCTAAGGGATGGGGGTGCTTCTGGAAAAGTTTTTGCTATTAAAAAGGGATACAAGGGGCCTGGGGGGCTCAGTGATTGAGCGTCTGCCTTTGGCTCAGGTCATGATCCCAGGGACCTGGGATCAAATCCTGCATCAGGCTCCCCACAGGGAGCCTGCTTCTCCCTCTGCCTATGTTTCTGTTTCTCTCTCTGTCTCTCATGAATAAATAAATAAAAATCTTTTTTTTTTTAAAAAAAGGATACAAGGTAGGAACATTCTGTC